CTCTTTTGGTTTCCAGTCTGAGCCACGCGATTTGTGATTTAGAGAAAGGAGAAGGTATGTTTTTGTAACAGTGAAAGCTATGAACCATGGAGATTGTATTAAATAGAGAAAAGGGACATTTGAAACTGTCTATTACATCCTTAACCACTCCACCTCGCGCGGCCGAGGGCTAGATTGATGAAATAGGATGGGATGACTGCGAGCATCGTAGCGACTGTCCCCGGGAGTTTATTGATTTTAAGGTATCGACGTTTATGGAAGCAACACTTTTGTGCGACGTTTGTCGTGGGACAAATGAATATTGCCAATGGCAATGGCACGAACGTCAAATTCAACTGAAGAAATTTTAACCAATATAAGCGCGTTTTATTTTTTATCTGGCATACATTCACATCCGTTTATTATTTACATATTTATTTTCAATAGGAAACACTGCGAAATTAAACTCCGAATTTCGGAGAATTGGGAATCAAACAAATATGAACTCCGATAAACTCCGAATCTTTGGCAAAAAATGAACTCCGAAAAACACCCTCCGAATCTGACGAAAAATAAACTCCGAAAACACGGAGCCCTACTTATGAGTTATAACGTAAACATAAGAAAACGTAAACAAGCGCTCCTGCGTTAATTGGACATGAGAAAGAAGAGACGAAGTCTGCGTGTTTCCATCCCTCAATGCACGGGGGTCCCTTCCGCTTCCTCAGACTCCGATCTTGGCCGTGCTTGTCATCGAGCGTCCAGCATCGGCAGCTTGGCTGACCCGGTCCTTGAACACTTGTTGCGTACGCAGACACCGCTACCACCGCAACCAGCGCCACGTTCTTTCGCAACTCTTTGAGCACGTGATGGGCACACAGAAGCGTTACACGTGCCTATTATATCCTCCTATTTTCGCGCGCTGTTCCTTCTATTTCGAGCGAAACACCTCGGCACGTTATCACAAGTAACATCGGCGCACGCATTTGCTCGAACTGGGCTGTTGTTTACCCAACACCTTGGCACGCGCGTCCTTCCGGCACGTTCTGAGAGCCGGCGAGACCTCTTGTAAACAGTTCCTGGACGCCACAATATTACTTCATTGCACAAGCAAAGGGCCACATCCGTGCGCCATCACGACGCCCGATGCCTTGTTTTACGACATTGCCCTCGATTGAACCCGAGCGTTCTTGCGGCTCATAGTCCGAAACCACAAACACTCCCGACAGCATCCACCGAGATAGCAAAATGAATTCACTAGAAAGCAACTATCAGAGTATCGGATTTTTTTATTTCCCCCGGTATGCCGAGAGGCGAGTAAGCTATTATTCAAATCCACAAAAAAAAAAAAAAAAATCAATGAATTTTTGTTGCTTTTTTTTTTTTTTTTTGCGGGCTTTTCTCCAGTATGCGTTTTTCCGGGTTATGCAATGTCTATTTGTAAGTATAATAATAAATGTTTGCGTATTTCATAGAAATGGTTGGGTGCGCTCGCTGGTGTATAGGTGCTGCTGTATATATGACACTCGACAAAGGCATGCTCTAACAAAAACTCCTTTTCAATCGCGTAATAATGAAGTGTGTTCTTTAAGTATATTCGTTTTACCACAAATAAAAACTGAGTGGAATGACTACGCTGACAGTGTTTTTATGGAGCCATCGTTGTCGTTATTTTAATCTAATTTATATTGGTTCGTTTTCGTACCGTATTTCTTCGAGTTTACTAAAACTAGTTTTTTTTTTTTTGCCATTTTGTTTTTATCTTTTTACCGCTGTACCTATTTGTGAAAATCTCACCCAGAGATTGCAGTATTAATACATAATAAAATTTAAAAATATCACGATCTGCATTGCTGTAAAAATATTGACGAGATATATTTTTAGAAGCGAAGCTCCGAAGGCTCTAGCCTTGTCCGGCGTCCGTGCTCACATCGATCGCCATCCCATCTGTCTTCTTAAAAAAAGAAAAAAATGTTTGCGCAGTCGACAGGATTTGAACCTGTGCGGGGAGACCCCAATGGATTTCTAGTCCATCGCCTTAACCACTCGGTAGTAAAGTGATTAGTTACGCGAGTTGGTAATGATTGAACATGGTTAAAAGTTTGTAAAATTTTGCCATGTTCCCAATGGTAAAATAAAATCTCACAATCTCAGACAGGTAGCCAATAGGTACGGAGTCCCCTTAATGATGTCAGCCCCCCCCCCCCCCCCCCAAAAAAAATAAAAATATGGGCCAAATTTGTTTTAAAGGCCGAGCAAAAGTAGAAAATATTACACACAGGTGCCGCATGAAACCCGTCCGCCCTTACGTGCCCTGTTCAACCAAAGTGGTTTATAGCATTCCCCTTTCCTGTGGTAGATCCTACGTAGGACAGACAGGACAGTGCATTAATGACCGGTTAAAGGGATACTGAGCCAAAGAATTTAGTGCCCATAATTAGTGGCGCACGTTCTTTCCACCAGCCAGCAGCCGCCGGTGTGCACGAGCACACGCAACAAAAATGACGTCACAGACCTCCATTCGCGGTTGAGATGACAGTGAAATGCATGGGCTTCGGACTAAGGGAAAATAAATGCAGGCTTTTCATCTCAACCAGTGAAAGCTACGTGCTTGTTAGACCAATTCATCGCTTACCTTTTACACCAAACACCACTGTGTAGATGAAAAACTTGTATTTATTCTTCTTTGTTCCGAAGCCCATACATTTCACTGTCATCTCAACCGCGACTGGAGGTCTATGACGTCATTTTTGTTGCATGTGCTCGCGCACACCGGCCGCTGCTGGCTCGTGGAAAGAACGTGCGCCACTTACTATGGACACTAAATTCCTTGGTTCAGTATCCCTTTAAGGGAGCGCAATCTTTCTTTAAATTCAGCGGTGGGGGGGTCACCTACCTCTGCATGGTCAAGTGTGTAAGTGTACACCTTCTTTACAAAACAACCTCGATAATTGGCAGATTCACCAAAAAACACACTCGGGAAATTTTCGAAGCTTTTAGTATACTCCGATTTTGCGAGCGTTGTGTCAGCCATCCTTCTGTGGCTTTAACCGACAAGTAAATAGCCTTTCTACAGTCGTTCGAGTGTGGTTGATGGTGTGTGTCCTCCGCGTGCTCGGGTGCCCCCGTGCGAGTGTGGCCTCGGCTCGAGCTGATACCGAGGGCTGTTCCTTTTTCTTCCTTCAATAAATTGAGTTGTGAGTTTGCGCTTGTCTCTTCTCTCTTCCCTCTTCTCTGTTCCTTTCTATTTGTGCGCAATTTTAACTATGTTTAACCATTCGGCCACGACTGCGGGACGAGTAGGGGGCTCTGAGATGTGGTAGTAACTCAAGAGCTGGAGATGTCATGGATGAAACGTTGCATGTAGCCGCTCAACGTCCATGCATGAGAAGGCGCGGTGGTCAAATGCGTATTTAACCGCGTTAAACTTTGCATGCATTGGCTCAACGTTTATAGACGAGAAAAAATCAGCACCATCAGCACTACCTATGAACAAAATGAGTATTATCAGCACCACCAGAGCTTCACCTTAATTACAGAATACTGTACCCCAATCAACATCATTCACCACGTGGAGATGCGGTCATTTTTTTCTCAGACTAACAAACGAGTACTGCGGTGGTAGCGCGCAGCAGCTCGGGGCACGTGAAGCGAAAGCCCGCACTCGTCGACGCCTCGTCTTCTCCCGCCTCGCCTCGTCTCGTCGATGCCTCGCCTCGACGACACGCGGCAGCCAATGGGACCGAAGCCGAGTATTTATCAGCTTTACTTCGCTCTTTCGGGATCGGGGAAACTAGGGGCCGTGTCTAGGCTTTTCGCGTGGTTTCATAGCTGGGAGCTGGCTACACTTGGAGAGAGGATTTAAGGTGCCGTTTTCGCACTTCAAACTGAAGACGGCGGCTCGCTTCATGAGACCCCAGTTAAAGCTTTCGCATTAAAAAGTACTATTCAGTAATGTGTTCTGCCAACCGAAGCTTGGGCCAGCTCCGTCGTAACTTCAGATCCGCCCGTCTTAAATTAAAACGGATTGTTTAAATTTCTTTGATTCGATCTAAATTAAAATATGCATTTTCAATCTGACAGTCTCACCTTTCTACGTTAACAGACAGTATTGAGTAAGTTCTAAGTTGTGCTGCCCGTTTTATTTAATTTGATTTTTCACGTTTCGCCAGGGTTTCTATAATGAAGTCAAGTCTTTCTCGACCATTACTCTCAACCCGGCGAAAAATTGTCCTTCTTTGCCTTCTGCACAAAGTCCTCTATTCACCTCTGCTAAATTAGTGCCTTCTCTCTCCACCAAACTATTATTCGGCAAGACTAGATCATTTTAAAAAAATAGCCAGGCCGCGATGTTTTTCTACAGCGCATCAAAACGCTATTCCCCTCGACACAATTGTGGACTGGAATGACCTTCCCGAAAAAATCGCTACCATCGTGAACCCCATGAGATTTCCCGAAGCCATTTTCAACAGTGTGATCTAATACCTAGTTCCTTCTTTAACTCTTTATGGCACTTATGGTATTGGAAATTAATAAATATATAAAAAAATAAGTATGCGAATGTGCAGCAGAACTTGGCGCGACCTGGTGGCTAAAATTTGTAACGATGAATAGGATAGCCAAATGTTCCAGAAGCCGGGACTCAGCGTAATGAAACAAACTACAGCAACTTCATATAATAAATATAACAATTACTGGTTATTTTTGTTCCGCAAAGTCGGTCTGGTTTGTTTTAGATGAAAGAAATAACACAAATACACACCGTCGGAGTCCCGAATATGGCGTGAGTTTAGGAAACGGGCCACTACGTTACAAGACAGAAGCATAGTTGATAGCGGAGATCACTGGATCCTACCAGAATTCGATTAGGCGGCGATCGATGAAACGGCCTTCGACGAAACGGCGTTTGATGAAACGTCATTCGGTAATCCGGCATTCGAAAGAACGACATTCCCTGAAAAGTCCGCACCCAGTAGGGAACATCAGGAAACAGTCAGGAAAGAACGAAATTGAGGGCTTACGAGTCTCGCGGGAGATGGCTCGGACGACCTCTTGCCTCCTGGTGGGCAGTTTGTGATGAAGCAGGCACTCGTACCACCGACGACCGCCAGGAGCAGCATGTGTGAGAGGGCCATCTGCGGGAAAGCGGCCTCTTAGAGAGAAAGGCGACGCAAGCACTCGAGTACGTGGGCATTCATAACGCTGAATCAGTTCCATTTCGCGATCATCGTGCATTAAATGCCGCCCTTTAAGCGCATGGACTATGCTTTCTAACTGAGTCTCCTTCTCAGATACCTGTCCGTTCGTCGGGCAGGCGAACGGACCGAACGACGACGGCGACGCTGCTCAAGCCGGAAACAGGCGCCTAAGAGCTGCGCTCTATAACGTCAAATCGGCATTCTGGTGTGCTCTTGAGGGCAATGGACACCTCACTCTGGTGCACATTGTTGAAGCTGAGTCCCCTTGGGTAAAATACTCGATCGTCGAGAAGCCTGACCTTACACTAACTACATTAACTTCAGCTTGCTCGTACCAAGCATCGCAAACAGCAAAAGGGGAGGAGTAGAACTCCTCGCAAGTGTCGAAAATTGAGACAACAATCTCAACTCTAGCTCTGAAAGATCGCACAACGATATCTGCGCTACTATTCGTTTTCTGCTTGGCAAGCTGCCTGAAACACTAAGTGTAGATCAAGCAGCGGTCATTCAACTCCTCGCCGAGCAACTGAAGCTGATTTCGTCCAAGAAAGACCGCAAGCGTTATGCAGTGGATTTTATGGTGTTTGCATGCATTCTTTTCACAATATCGCATCATGTATACCAGTACATTCGTGGCCGTGGAAGCATTGTTCTGCCACACCCTAAAACCATCCGATCGAAATGCCCGTCGTTTGGAATGAACCCTCAACAAGGAGCAGCAAAGTTCAAGTTTCCTCAGCTACATGGCGAAGACGATCTCTGACTTGAACGATGACAAACGTTATGTTACCTTGATAGTGGACGAGGTCCACATCAAACGGTTTTTCGATTATAAAGGAGGCAAATTGTGGGTATCGCACTTAATTCCACAGAAGTAGCGAATAGTGCGTTCGTGTTTATGGTGCAAAGTATCAAGTGCCAGTTTAAGGAAGTCGCTCGCATCGTACCCGTGCACGGGGCCAACGCAGAGGTTCTGCACAAGCTGCTTCGAGACGTGATTTGCGGGCTCATGAAAATCGGCTACCGGGTGATGTGCGCTGTAACTGATAACAATGCACCGCACGCCTGGTACAACAACGCACAACCACGACATGCCTGGTAAACAACGCGTTGTTCCAACAAGTATTATAGCGCAGCTCTAGGCGCCCGTTTCCGGCTTGAGCGGCGTCGCCGTCGGCGTAACCGCGCGTTAGCATGGGACGTTTAGCATACTAAAGTCACGTGACGTCAGGTTTGATGTCACGAGGGAGGAGGGAGGGAGGGGAAGGAGGTGGGGGAGGACAAAGGTAGGAGAATTAGAGGGCAAGAGGAAGGAGTAGGGGAGGAATGGAGAGAAGGAGGAAAAGGGGCATACCCCCTCTTCATACCCTTCCCTCCTCCTCTTCAAGAGCTGCGCTCTAATTCGGCATTACAGGGAGTTGTAAACGACTTTCATTTTTTTCCCTATATCCGTCCGATCCCAACAGGCCGCTGTTTTTTGTGATCGACACTGTGCACATAATCAAGTGCATACGCAATAATTGGCTGAAGCAAGACGATCAATGCTTCTGGTTCCCCGAGCTTAAGGCTCACACGGAATGCCAGTGGCGCATGCTGTGTGCGTCGTTCAAAACTATCAAAGCTGCCTACGACTTGAAATGCGACCAACTGCTGCGCTTTGTATACAGTGTCAAGGAAAGCCCTTTGTCCGCCGAACATTGAGAAGCGGAACGTGAAACTTGCTCTCCAGATATTTGACAGCTGAATTCTTCCCAGTGCCCTTCGTGCCACTGGATAGAATTACAACCTGATGGTTTTCAAGGAGTCCGCCACTTTCATCAAAATTATAGTAACGTGGTGGAAAATCGTGAATGTGAAGACACCCGGCAAAGGAAGCCGGCTGAAAGATCGGTTCTAAGAGCCTGTGCACACTGCTCTAGACGACGAGAAGGTGGATTTTTTCTACAACATTTTAGACTGGTTGGATGAATGAGTGAAAAATGGCAACAACTGCAATTTGACCGAAAAAACTCATACCGCACTGCACAAGTCAATTTACGCGCTTCTCGAAATATGCAGGTACTGCTTCGAAGAGTTCAAATTGTCCTACGTCCTAATCGGGAAATTTCAGAGGGAAAATTTAAAGGACCGCTTCGGAAGGTACCGTTAGCTGGCAGGTTACCATTACCACGTGTCTACACCACAGCTTTATGAATGGGAAAACAACCTGCGGCTGCAAAACACACTTGCACCGATTGGCAAAGCTTCTGGAACAGAGAGAGATGAGAGATGGGAGGAAATACAAAAACGAGGAGAGACGCCAAGCCCCTAGCTACAAGGTAGTAGTAACATAAGATCCCCTTTCAAAAAGTAAAAGACATCGTCCCCGTTCTAGCTTATGTGGCCGGATATGCGGTGTACACGACGGTGAAGGAGCCGAAGTGCGAGAAGTGCAAATATTCCCTCACAACAGACCGCACGATCGTAGCTTCTGCCGGCCATGAGTACTACCATCTCATCAAAAACATTGACAGAGGAGGCCTTTTGTACCCAGCAATGACCGCAGTCGATTTGGTCGCACACAACTACGTTGTTGTTGAGGGAATCTCGAAGCAGGTGGACTTCATAACGATAAGTAACCAACGCCAGCTGGTCACGGACCTCACACTGGACTTGCTGGTCGACGGGGATTACTCCGACTTCGATGAGTGTGAACAAGGAAACACGAGTGGGGTCGTGCTGAAGCATGTGTTGTAATGCTCAACAAACATTTTACTAAAAAAATTTTGCCCCAAGCTCAACGACAAGATTGTAAAAACAAACAAGAGATATAAAAAAAAATTTAAGCTAGCTACGTTAACAAAAAAACATTCTATGAATAGCCTAGCATGCACAGGGACCACCGGTTTGTTCGAGATATCCAACGCGCGAGTCAATAAACACGGGTTTGTGCCGAAAAACTTGAATAATTGCTACACTTCTGTACTGTTCCGTGATGCTCTTCGGCTTCGCATAAGGCCGACTAGCGTCACGTCACGCGCCAAGACTCGCTCCCCTCCACCTTTTCCGCTCTAGGTGGCTTTGCTACCAAGGTGCACTTCCTTTCCCACTGTTTTGTCCTTAGATGAACGCCTTCAGCTTTCCCTTATCATGTGGGGACTAATGCTAACGCATTAAAAAATGTCAACTGAAGTCAATGAGGAAACAAGATGGGACTGCGCATGTCGACTAGAATAAGGACATTTCTCTGATTTCATTTGCGCTCCACTTTGGACGGGAGTTTCCGTGGTACATAGCAGGCTTGATTCTGTGATTGCCACCCTTGAAACAGTTAAAACTCATAAAGGATATACTCATTTCGCAGCTCGCGATTGTGAAGTATTTCCAGCACGGGCGAGAATGTTTCATGTGACATTGGTTCTCAAGGCGCAAGGCTCCCGCTAAAGCAACTTGACGGGGTTTTCACCCACTGCTACCGCAAAGCGTTTTTGTTTTTTGCGATAAAAAGGTTAAAAAAAAGCGGATATTTTCCCGGCATTGTTTGTTCCATCTCCCGCGAAGCATTGTTGCCTTTTGCAGACGAAATTGTAGAGGTACAAATTGAATTGAAAAAGCGGAGATAAATCATACTTCCACTTTTGTTTTTTTTACAGGTTAGGTGGCGCAAGCTGCCGCCCGTTATGAAGAGTGCAGCCATTAGCATTCGCCCATCCAACTATCGACCCTGAGGCTGTGCAGAGATAATCTCGACCGTCGGCGACCCGGGAAGCCGAGGGACACCCATCCACGTCCCGCCTTCCCGTTGCTGACGTACACGGGTGGGGAAAAGCAGGGATTCTTCAATGTTCCTACTAGAGAGTTGTCTGCAGGAACTTACGCGACCGGCGTCATTTGAAAATTTAGTAACTCCACGGAATATGTTTATTTTTATAAAATATATTGGCTAGTCGTTCAGAAAATGCTATTCATTCGGTCTGCCAATTTCCAACCAAATCCAAGACTAATGATCAAATCGGCGTACTTCACACTGCAGTGTGAAGTACGCCGATTGCGCTTGTCCGTGTCTACTCCCCATGTGATTGTACGCCGATGGCGCTTGTCCGTGCCTACTCCCTTATGATTGTCCCTTGTTTCGCACAAAAAACTTCTAGACTGCATCATGACCCAACTAGGCCAACAACAAGTTTCCTTTCACACTACGCGTTTGGTGAATATGAGACATAACCAAATATATAATAATTTTACAAATTAAGTTGTTAGACTCAACGTGCAGCTTGTGTAAAGCTGAAATATTATTCGAGTTTCGAATTGGCACGCGGCAATACAATTCAACGGCTGAATTTAGCGAGGGAGCACTTCCCCTCTAAATTTAGCAAGAACGCTTGAATTGCAGCATAATAACGCACCACTTTAATTTCAGTACTAGATCTAGCAGAGAAATTTCATGTTAAACTTTTGCATTACACTTCCGTTACATACTTGCATTACAGTTTCATTACATACGTCCGTTGCGTACTTCCGTTGCACGTTTTCGTTACGCTCTTCCGTTACTCACATCCGTTACGTGTTATTGGGTGCCATCTATTTTAGAAAACCCTCACCAATAGACGTTCTGAATAAGACTTCACCTTTCGATTTACCGCCCTCCCAGGACTCTCCACGCCAGAAGGGAGAAAAAGTGCTTACCTTCAGAGAACGGGCAGCCGCTGACGCGCGCCCCTTTGGTCAGCTCGGGGTGGTCGTGTGGGCAGCCGGACGTTGTCGCCACCGCTTAAATGGGTTTCTACAAATCCCACCGAGCGCATTCATCAAGAGCGACGTGAATCGAGAACGCGGCTGCGGGTGACAAGCGTAAGGGAGCAACCCTCGACGAGCAAAAGAAACGAAAAAACGTTCGTTTCTGCCAAGAAACCCTTAAAAATTTAATGTTCATCCACCGGACGCCTTGAGCCTCACGAGCCTCCTCTTCAATCCTCCGTGGAACCCCAGGGTGGACCGCAGCGGAAGCTACGAGCCATCACATTCGGTCACGTCTGCGCCTCTCCGGATGTCACGGGACCCTCGCACTGCACTGGATTGGCTTGGTTGACTCGTAGTGTCTTACACAGTCCATCGTAAGACAAAACAGAGTGTGGTGATGGATTTCTTCGAGAAAAGGGTCAGAGGGAGGGAGTCCAACCCGAAGACCCTTGCGTCATCCCTTTTGGCTTGAAAGGGACTCAACGACCTACCTGCTGCACCAATGAGCAGGGGGGATCGACCCACGTGACCTTAGACTCGTAGTTCTCGCAGCGCCCGAAATTCAGGTCACCTGACGCGCTTCGGCCGCGTGATTGGGTCGGATGGGTCCTAGCGTCCTCTCCGGTTCGCTCGGTGCTATAGGAACGGCGCTCCGACGATGTTGGATTAGGTTCTAAGCGCGTCACTGCCGATAAACCTCGTCATGCCCGGTAAAGCATCTAGTCGGTTGTGACCAATAGTGTACGTACAAAAGCCTGGGCTTTTGGATTCTCGTACTTTTTGTCTTGTCCTGCCTTTGAACTCGTTAGCGCTTTTGAGAAAAAACACGTTGCGGCGACGTTTATCTCCGATCGGGATTTGATGCTCGCTGTTGCGCAGCTGTTGCGTCGATTGCCTGTCCAATGTGATGTTTTGGATTTTGACGCTTTCGTGGGCGCTCGATTTATCGACGGTCCCACGTTTCCCCGCTCGTCTAACGAGATGTTTTGTGGAGTTTGTACATCGTTCCTACATTTAGAGTTTGGTGAGATGTTTGCAACGGCGCTAGAGCCTTTCAAATGCTTGATGAATGGTTGATGGTGTTCTCTTCTCTTGCTGAAGGACGACGAGGATGAAAAACTCAAGCTCTTACAATTTTAGGGGTCAGAAAAAGTGCAAAGATACATTGTAAGACCTTAAGCTCTTACAATGTTTAGGGGTTAGAAAAAAGTGAAAAGGTGCTTGATAAAGAAAAGAAAAAATGGCTTGCGTTTACGGAATATGTCTAAATAAAAAGCAAGCCCTTTCTGTTCAACATTTTTGTTTTTAACGTGAAACGTTCTTTGGATGGGGTGTAGAACCGTTCGTCGAATGACAATTCGTCGCACGACAGCTGGAAGCAGGGCTATTGGTCACATAGGGCAATTCGTCATAAGGCGGTTCGTCACTATGGCATTATGTGGAACATTTCTTTTTAATAATTTTTTATGGGTTTTGTTGCTTATTGAGCATAGTTTTTTAGGTGAGTGCAATTACTAGTGACCCTTTTCCTTTATTTACCTATTTTTTCCCGCACCCATGGAATTCTATAGTTTGTACTAATTTTTATAGGCACTGCGTAATAATGTCTTGACCACCACAACCCTGGCACCACTCCTAGTGACTAATAAGAAGGGAGTACTCATTTAGGTGCGTAAATACAAGTGTTTTTTTTTTTAGTGATAGCACTTTACCAGTGTTCCCAAGGAGATTCTTCTGGCGCATGCTTCAACGACATCCAAGTTGTTGGTCCCGTCATAGCGATGAAGGATGGCCTGAAGTCGCCTGTCGTGTCCGGCCCGCTTCCGTGGCACCCTTGTGGAAACGACCCCGCTTGCAGCTTGGCTGAGCTTCAGCTCCGTCATAGCTTTCTCCTTTTTTAGTGACTCCACGAACGCCCAGAAATTTGGTGAAGCAAAACTTACGTTGCTCTGCAAAAAAATGATATCAAGGGCCTTATAAATAAGCACGAGATACACACTGTCCAATAAAACTTGTTGGGCTAGTTGCTGCATGTTTGTCTAAAAGACGGTTGCACGCACGAAAGAAGGCAAACACAACAAGGTCAGGACGAGGTGTGCTTGCCCCGTCCGGACCTTCGTGTGCTTGCCTTTTTCCGTGCGCGCAAATGTATCTTTAGTCAGACTGTCGATTGCGCCTGCGGCATGAATAAGGTAGTAAAAGAAATTACCTGTAGCCCGTAGTGCCATGCCTCCACACTGTTGTTGGTCCGCGGAATTCCACCTATCGTCGCCTCGTGCACGGACCACATTTTTGGTGGGAACTGGGCGGAGCAGATCCCGTTTCGTCGCGGTCGGTCGATGTAAATATCCTCAAAGTAGTCCGCTACTTGAATCGCCTCAGGGGGAAATGCTTCCATGATGTCCTGAAAAGCTTCAGGAATGTTCCCAGCAGGCAGAAATGCCAAAGCCGGGAGCATTGTTATCTGGAATAAAAGGAAAATATTTTTAAGCTCTACAAAAGCTGATAAGCAATATAGAAAAAGAAACAACACTCTACAGGCCAAAAGAGACTAGCCTTTACTGCAAATGTCTCGTCCGTGGCGTAACGCGCTTGAAAGCCCAAGGCGCAGAGCTTCCGATAGACGGACTGGGCAAGATGGAAAAAGCATCCTTAAATTTGGACCTCTGAAATCGTGTCACGAGTGGCGTTGATAGCGGCCGTGTAGAGGGTCCGTGCAGCGCAGGGTCCAACGTTGTCAATGACGGCTTGGAAGAACCTGGTAAGATGAAATAGTAGTAGAGTTTGCTCAGCCAATTGCAATACCTTGAGATAACGCCCAACAGGGCAACATTATAATTGGAACTTACCTGCGGTATGTTGCCACAGTTTTGTTTGTAAGTAAACCGTACAGCATGGGCACGGTGATCCCGTTCTTCAGCGCATGTATGGTGCAAAGTTGGTAGAACAGGGAGGGCATCACCTTGAACGTGCCATCAGAAAACCAGGCGCTTGCACCTCCCAAGCACTCCAGGTTGCGTTGTGTTGCAAATAGGATGAGCCGGTTGACGTCGCCCTCGCCACTGTTGTGCAAGAGAAACGGCTCTTCCTTTCAGTTCACCTACAAGCAAATATGGCATGTAAATCAACCGCATAATAGTAATGTTATATGGCATGTAAATCAACCACGTAACGTTTTATGTACGCACCATGTACTCTTATTGGAGTTTGATGTCCTCGCGGAAGGTCCCCCCCTCTCTGTAGGGTGAGAGGGCAAAATTAAATGTTGCCCGTTGCCTCTGTCTTCGAATGGTTCAACGTAGAGTTGACGTAGAGGGCAGTTGTAACGCAGTGCTGTCGGTGATTATTACAGCCGTGTCCAAGAGAATATGCTGAACCTGGTCGCGTCCTTCCACTGAAAATTAAATTACATACGTTATCAAATGCAGTTTATCACCAGAACTATTACGAAAAACGAAGTAAATCTTATGCGTCCCCACCTGCACTGTCTTCATTTTTGATCCAACCTTCAGACAGTTGATTTCGGTCGGTTCTGGAGCGTGGCTGTGGTCGTTCGTTGCTTTCCAAGTTTGAAGCTTGGAAAGATCGGTTGTTATTTTTGCTTTGCAGCTATCCCTTTTCCGGTATATCCAGTATACACTGGTTTCAGTTCTTTGGTTGGCTGTGTATGAAAATCCCTGAAAAAGTAGCATCTCCCCACCTCTCTGCGTCTGGATGATTTCCATGGAGACTTCAAAGATTGACGGGAAACCAAAAATTTTATAGCAGTCCGCCGATTCATGAATGAGTCATTGGAAGCCGCATTTCCACATCCTTCTTTGAAGCTCTGTAAGCTAAGCTGAATGAAAACCTTTGTCAGTAGGGAAACCAGAGAAAGACTGTGAACTCGAAGGTGGACAACAAAGTAATCCTCAAAGCATCATACATTGTGCTTCCAAGGTTAACTGAGATGTTTAACAACTTAGAACCAAACAGGAGACTAATCTTTCTAAATGGGAGACTACACACAAGCCGAATAACAAAGCTACCGAACACTTGAGAATAGGTCAATGCTAAGAATAGCGTCGGGTTATAATACTTTCGGCGACGCTTTTCGTTCCGTTCAGACAAAGCGCTATTTCAAAACTCCCGTTCTTCGACAAGTTGTCCTAGTGACGAATCGCCCTATGACGAATTGCCTTGTGCGACGAACGGCCCTGCTACGAGTTGCCCTATTACGAATTGTCTTTCGACGAACGGCCCGTACCCCCTTTGGTTGGTTGTTCCGGATTTCGTGAAGCGAGATTAAGTGAAGACGGATTAAGCTTCGCCGCTAGATTTAGCGGGAAAATTGACGTCACGTGACATCAACATCAATTTAGTTTCCCAGCTAAATATAGCCAGAAAAATGACATCACATCAGTTTGTGTCAGGTTACCTCTTACATAAATTCAGTTTCTCCGCTATATTTAGCGGAAGAATTGCCGTCACGTCACCTCAAAGCCCATTTATTTTTCTCGTTAAATTTAGCGGGGTAAATGATGTCACATGACGTCACGTCACGCGGCTATAGTTGCCACGGATTTCGTGAAGCCAGATTAAGTGAAGCCGGATTAGTTTTCCCAGTAGATTTAGCGAAAAAATTGACATGACGTGACCTCCAACAGCAATCCAGTTCTTCGCTAAATTTCGCGGGAAAAATGACGTCCCATAAGTTCGTGTCACGTGACGTCTACACCAATTCAGTTTTTCAGCTAGATTTAGCGGGAAAATTGACGCCACGTGACCTCAACGCAAATTTAATTTACCCGCTAAATTTAACGGGAGAAATGATGTTCCATGACTTCATGTCACGTGGCTATAGTTGCTCCGGAGTTCATGAAGCCGGACTAAGTGAAGCCGGATTGAGTTTCCCTCCATATTTAGCGGAAAAAGTGACGTCCCGTCACCTCAACACCAATTCAGTTTCCCAGCTAAATTGTGTGAAAAAATTAAAGTCACATGGCCTATACTGTATACACCGCTTTATCTCCCCC